TATAGGTTTCTATATGTGTATACTTTGAGTGTATACGATTTTTGACAAACTGCCAATTTTGTCAATCTATTTATATATGTTCTCATACACTTCCAATTCCCATTGGCATGCAATGAAGACACATAAAAAGGCAAAATACCAAAGCATATGTCTCCGGGTTATCTCTACCACCCAATGGATTGTGCGTGTGTCTTATAACAAAATGCTGCATGCGGGACGCAGGAGTGTAGATATTTTATGAAATACTCTTTAACTGACGTGCTTTCATCTATCGGGATATCCCATGAAGTACACAGTCCATTCCTCACCACATATATCTTCTTCTTGCACGCAACAGATTCTGTGTGCACTACGAATCACTGCTATAGGTATACATGACTAGAGCATTGTCAGTGGTTCTACATAACCCTATCGTGTCGAATGTATTTATGAAGCACGCACTTCACTGCCCATTCTCAAATCCAAAAGTCTCGATGAATCTCGATGAAAATTTAGAATACACCACTGCATGTACGCTCTATCTATATATTACACACCCTCATCTACATTTGTGGCTGTCTATCCCTGCCATCCAACAGATTGTGTGTGTGCCTTACAACACCCTGTTGCATGCAGGCACACGGGAGGCGTCGGGGCTGACACTAAATGACAGCATTGTCATCGTCGATGAGGCGCACAACTTGATAGACACCTTACTGAATGTGTACTCAGTACACCTTGATTTGCAAGAGGTATGTGAATTATTCATACTTCAAGTGCAGTGGGATAGTGATTATGGGTGCTGGATGGAGTATATATTGGATGGTGTGTGCCACCTAACTGACCGCCTCCGTGCCGCTTTATTTGCAAGTGGTATGTGGGTATCTCATATAGGATACAGTAAGAGGAGTTCCTGGGTAAGCTCCGTTCTGTGATGGAAAGTCTACGCGTACTCTTTCTCATGGCATGTTTGGTTGTGGATGTTGCCATTCTCAAGATATATTTGAATGCGATGCAACAGTGTCCCTAATTACGCCAGTATAACTATTTTACTTATTGCATTGAAGATGATCATTAGTATGACACCCATGTTGCTTCTTGTTTTATTATCGTTACGCAGGTGATACGTGCGAATGGTCAACTGAGCCGATACTTCCTCAAGTACAAAACCCGCCTGAGTCCATCTAATATAACATACATACAGCAATTGCTGTTTATAATGAAAAAGCTGATCAAAGTCTTCGCCAAAAGTATCAAACCGAGTGACAACGCGGGCACAAAAGGTGCGCTGTGTGGACCTTGTGCTAGAAAACGTAAAACATCTCGTCGTGTGAAGAGGTCATCGAACTAGTCTTAGATTTCAGACTTATTCTCAGGGTACTAAGTGCTCACGATAGATTGATATGTAGTCATATAGATATACACAAAATATACCGCATATGCGCTCGTGTATCAATTTTCAATCTCTCTCTCCATCGTTACCTCGCAAATGTGTTCTGTTAATGTATCGTTACATGTCGGCCAGATCATCACTTCGTGCACTCGTCGTCAAGCACTTGTATCTCAGTACTTACTCAGACCTCAAAGGTATATGCAAAAATTATGGGAATTATTCACGCAATACAATGTATAACTCTGCTTTGCAGATTTGTTTCACATACATTCACTTTATATCTTGCACCGCTTTAAACAGATTTACGTGGTATTCGCATCTTCACTCAGACACATAAAAAAAAAGTCACTCAAATCTAGAGTGAATTTTACTTACATACGTCACCTTAGTTGACCTTGCAGGATTACATGTGTACAATACCAAACTAAGACAATTGATGATTATTTCACACATGCGCACCACGTGCCGGCAGATCCTGCCTCTGCTTCTCACATACAGCCGGTTACTGACTTTGTGTTTGCTCTGGGAATCGACAACATCAATCTATTTAAATTAGTAAACTACTGTCAGAAAGCGATGCTGGTCCGAAAGGTATGTTGTAACTTGGCAGTAAGGTTTTAAGAGAGTGGCTAAGTAGTGTTGTTTTGATATTGTCGGAATGTGATGGATAGGCGTATTTTGCTGGTTGAAATGATTGATGTATAATTACAATTACTTGTAGTATCGAATCTCTCTTCGACACCTATTGTTGTAATTCGCTGACATAACATGAGGAGTGAGTGTTCACATATGGTATTTTTGGTTGAACTAATGCAATATATGTGTATATTCATGTCTGAACTCTTTGTTTAATAGCACATACTTTGAAAGGAGAATGTCATTTTGTCACCGCTGGCGATGTGCTGCTATTGACGGCAAATGATTAAGGTTTGCTTTAGTCTTAGCGCAGTTTAGGTGCCAAGCGACCACATAAATGAAGTATGTGAATTATTGAGATTTACCTCTTTGATTACTCGTCGGTGACATCTGGAGTTCAAATAGTTTGAGATTGTTTGAGTAGTGGTCAACATCGTACTCATTGAAATTGCAAGCGTTTATGAGAAGATGAATCTGAAACATTGTACTCTGGAATAATGCATAAAATAAGGACTATTGGTCACGAAGCTCTGCGGCCCGATATATACTGCAATACACACGCGCACATTTTTAATGTATTGTGATTATATTTAACTGTCCATGTGTGATGATTAACCGTGCCCATTGTCATATATGTTACTTTTGACTTGTCGAATGTCAAACATCGATTGAACTCTCCGACACAGTCCTCTCATAGCTCAGTTAATTCGTAGCCCTTGCTGAAGTAGCGTCCGTAGCAGCAATTGACTTGTCACAGAGCTCACAAACAAAAAAACGTAAATATGCTAAACAAGCCACACATTTTGGCAATGCCAAACTTTAATCCTATTTGTTTCGACGCGCCTTACCTAACTAATGCTAAAAGGACTGGTAGATTCTGCAAAAGTCAGCAATCCATCTACAATTGCCAAGATTCGGAACACAATTATGTGTGCCAGACCTTACTATCTTTATTTAGCGCCTTCACACATACTCAACTACACAGCTCAATGACGGCATAGTGGATAAGCCGTCAAAGTAACAAAATCTATCTCAGCTATTCACCGAGATTTGCCAAATTTTCACAGCTCGAGCATACACAATTGCACTTCTGCACACAAAAGACATCTTTTCGAACGACTACACGACCTTCAAATTTATAATATACCCTTACAAATGCCAGATCTCACACTTTTTCTACGCCTTTATGTCTATCCACACAGCTTACGGATTTGTAATTTTGCGGAGGTAGCCGCCATAGAAATAACTAAACTATGTTAGCCAACTACCTACATCTAGAAGGATTCAGTATATCTGTACATTTGTATGTTTACTACACATATATTACACGCTTGTGTGTGTAAAACCTCATTTCTTTTGTGTATACCTTCATACCCACTCACACAGCTCAACGGATTCGTAGACTTTTCGGAGGCAGCTTCTGCAGAAACAGCAGATCCATCTCAGCCACCTACTTACATTCGCCGAGGTTCGGCACTCGCACCCATTGTGGAGTTTCTCATAGCCATGCAGGGCAGTGATTGTGATGGACGCATTATGGTGACCAAAGAGACGAGTATTGAAACTGCTACGAAGCATCCGAGCAAGGATAAGAATGGTAAATTGCGAAGTTTGTGCAATTCCTATTAAATTTTCTGAACAAAGATCAGATAGGTATCTTTCTAAGTGTACACACACATATATACAATACACACTAAAACGAGAAAGGTATCTTTCTACGTGCATACACACACACACACACACCCCCCCCCCCACACACACAAACATACACACACAGACACACGCACATACACACGCACACGCACGCACACGCACACACAATATACATACATACAAACATACATAAAAACACACTAACATATATACATACAATAAATACATAC